ATTGCTCTCAAAACACACACCTAAAAGTAAGGGAAAACAGAAAGTTGCAAGTCATAGGATGGGAAAATACATACCATACAAATATTAATCTAAAGAAAGCTGAATAGATAACTTACTATCAAAATAGGCAAGTTTTTTGAGGAACTTTAAATTTGCTGAGGAATGGGTGAAGAACTAGAGGGGGGCGTTGGTTCAAGCCAGTTTATTTATTTGTTTTTTTTTTTTTTCAAGATTTTATTTATTTATTTGAGACCGAGAGAATGAGAGACAGAGACATGAGAGGGAGGAGGGTCAGAGGGAGAAGCAGACCCCCTGCCAAGCAGAGAGCCCGATGCGGGACTCGATCCAGGGACTCCAGGATCACGACCTGAGCCGAAGGCAGTCGCTTAACCAACTGAGCCACCCAGGCACCCTATTTGTTTTTTAATACTGTTTCCTGACGGGAATACTACAGTGGAGACAGGTAAATTGATGACACAGGAAAGATGTCTATAAGTTCTTTGAGTAGAAAAAGGGATGGGATTTGGCCCCGCAACAGAAGTGTTGACCTTAGGGACAGGGGACAATGCTTTAACAAGCAGAGGATAAAGGCACGAGGTGTGTGTATATTGGTAGATAGATTTCTAAGAAGCTGAGACAGTTCTCTTCTGAGTACATCTATTTCCTAAAAAAAAAAAAAAAAAAAGTACCAGTGGAGTGTAGGAGGAGAGATTATTATTGGTTGGAGCAGAGGGATGGTGTGATACAGTTTTAACAATAGGAAAAACAGACTTCCTATGGAAATATACAAAGGTCATAGGTTGAGAGTTCAGAGCAGCGTTGAGAGTTCACATAACATTTGTTAATGATCTGTGTCAAGCAGGGCTAGTCAGTGTGGTTGTTGTAGGTCTTTTCCAGCCAAGTCCATGTGCATTGAGGATGCAAAGAAGGTGAAGAGTTTACTCTGTGCTCGGGTGAAGTGAGGTAAGACGTGTGCATAGTTTCTCTTCCCAGACCAAAGGAGACCCTCACCCCTCCTTCTGTCCTCTTAGAGGTATTGGCGATGAGGTGTTGAGTGGTTGTAGGGCTGGTTCTGCTGAAAAGAACGTCTCGGCAAACCCCATCTGACCCCACAGCTGCTTGTCCACTGAAATGAGGAGAATTACTTAGCGCTTTTGGTTCTCAGCTGTGGGCCTAGTTGCCAAATTTGAGACAAAAGGCAAGAACCCACTTTTAACTTCACGTCATTGTGACATCTGTCTGCAGAGAAGGAACAAGCAGAGGCACTTAGATCCTGGCTTGTGGGACCAGCTCTAGGGCCCAGAAGGGTAAGTCATATCCTCTACCTGTGGGTTATATCAGTGTCACCTTTACGTTATCAATATTTTCCTCCTTTACCTGTGCGACTTTGAGTAGGTTTCTGTGCTTTGCAAATAAGTAATCTTTGACAAAAAGATTAGTTCCCTCGTGTGTATAAGTGAGGAGTGGTTTTCAAACTGTGCACTGTGGAGTCCAAGTTGTCACAGAGGCTTGTGAGCAGGATGGAAGAAGGAACAAAGAAGTATGGCTTCTGGTCCTACTAGCCCACTTCAAATCTGACTTCTATTACATGCTGGGCTTTTGTTAGGGATTTTGCTTAAAAATGTTGTATTAAAGGGGTACCTGGGTGGCTCAGGAGGGTTAAGCATCCAACTCTTGATTTCAGCTCATGTCATGATCTCAGGGTCATGAGATTGAGTCCCATGTAGGTGTCTGGGCTGGGCATCTCTCCCTCTCCCTCTGTCCCTCCCTGCTCTCTTTCTCTCTAAAAAAAAAAAAAAAGTTGTATTAAAAAAATGAAAATAGAACCTACTCTTCCAACACATACACTGTGTAAATCCATTAATATTTATCTTTTGTGGTCAGAACTTCATGTTACAAAACAGGGAAGGTCTGAAGTCATTTCCCAGATTATGGGCCAAGGCATCAGGAATCCCTGAGTTTAGCTTCCTGGTTCTCTGACTCTCAGATCTTGTTCAACCAGCCACTCCATGATCTGGAGGTGCAGGGGTGCATTGGTTCTGGGAAGATCAACAGGTTCTTCACATTACAATACCATCACCTGTGTTTTCTTTCCCTTCTTCTCTCTCTTTAGTATTATCCAGAACTACAAACATTTTGCTGAGGGAGCCTCATTTCAGTGGGGGTCATGCCTCCGGGCAAGGGATTAGCAGCTCAGGTGATCTCATCGGTCTCTTCCAGGTCAATAATTTTACAGCTACATGAACTGGCAACTTGTTTTGGCACGGTTAAAATGGGCATCCATTAATAGATCTGGGAATCTCACAACTTACTAGCAAGAAATGTGAGGACCCCCTGACCAGCTGAAGAAGTAGAATTAGCTGAGAAGAAAGGACTGAACTTTAGCCTCAGGTCATGTGTAATGGTCACAAGTCAGTGATTCATTAATTTCTTCAAGCATAGCATTATTTTCCACAAATGGATCACATAATTTATTACCTCTTCAGAGGGCCTCTTGAAAACACCTGGAAAAATTGGCATGAAGAAGGAAGACTTCCAGTTAACCGAGTAAAACTTAACATTAAATCCAAGCTGGAAAATTTCTAATGCTTGTATTCTGAAGACCAGTTTTAGGAAAAGGAGCTACTACAACTTGTTCATTTTCTTGGAAGAAAATTCCAGAGTTAATGTTACCAATGAAAATCACATATTTTTGTTATTAATTTATATGTTTAATTTTATAGATCCTGTGCTTAATAATTCTTTACAGGTTTCCTCAGATGTGTGGTCTATGGTCTGAAAATCAGATCAGAATCATACATTTTTTTTTATTGTGTCTTAAAACATTAAATGAACTCATTATTAAAATAGTAAAAAGAGGGGTGCCTGGGTGGCTCCGTCGTTAGGTGTCTGCTTTCGGCTCACGTCATGGTCCCAGGGTCCTGGGATGGAGCCCCACATCGGGCTCCCCTCTCACGGGAAGCCTGCTTCTCCCTCTCCCACTCCCCCTGCTTGTGTTCCCTCTCTCACTGTCTCTCTCTCTGTCAAGGAAATAAATAAAATCTTAAAAAAAATAGTAAAAAGACATCATTTTAACAATTTTTTTAAAATGAAAGACTGTAAGATTCCTATAGAGCAAATGCTTAAAGAAAATAAACCCTAGACAGACTTCATTTTAAGTAGAAAAGGAAACTCTGGGGAAGGAGGGCTTTGGGCTCCTGGCCAGCAGCTTCTCTAGGTGCTGTTCTTTGTGCTCCAGTGAGAGACCCTGTGTGACTGTCCTCCACAATCATGTTAATTCTTTTTTTTTTTTTTTAAGATTTTTATTTTTATTTATTTGAGACAGAGAGAATGAGAGACAGAGAGCATGAGAGGGAGGAGGGTCAGAGGGAGAAGCAGACTCCCTGCCGAGCAGGGAGCCTGATGCGGGACTCGATCCAGGGACTCCAGGATCATGACCTGAGCCGAAGGCAGTCGCTTAACCAACTGAGCCACCCAGGCGCCCAATCATGTTAATTCTATCAGTAGTTTCATTTAAAAAAATCACCTTATCAAAGGAGCTGAGAAATACCTTTCTTTTTGCTTCCCATTCTATCTGAAGGACTCTTACTTATACTTTATTTCAGATAGTTCCTCCTTTTTTTTTTTTTTTTGCATCAACTTCACAGCTTTCTGACTTTGTCCTTCTAGGCAGAACTAGAAGGGATTTCCTCCTTAGGGATACCAGTAAGCCTAGAATCCATTGCTGACCTAAAATTTGTCTTTCCTCTGAGACGGTGAGTGGGACTGGTTATTTCTCTCTTGATATATCTTCTAACACTGGGCCTTATATAGGGGAGGTGTTCTATAAACATCCATTGAGTAAAAGGAAATCCAAGCTCACACCAGAATATAATATTTGTTCTTTTTAAGACAACTTTTATTGTTTTCTTCTAGTAATAATACTATCCAACCATTGTAAAAAATTCAGAAAAGATACCCAAGTTTGAATGGTCTGGTTTTCAAAAGCCTATGAGTACCAATTGAATCTCTATCTTTTTATGCCTTACTTCTAAGGTCCTCGTAGACTCCTTTTCTTCTACCATTAGGAATTCCCTAAAGGGTATATTCTGTGTTTCAGAATAGGCCTGTTGTTGTGTGTTGCCATGGCGAACAGAGATAGGACTCCAATAACCAAGCCAGAACTCAGCTGTTGTCACTGACAGCTTCATGGAAATGCTGCTTCAGGTTGGAACCCTGTTCCCAAGCTGCAGCCTCCAGGATGTCTTGGTGGGAGGAAGGCCAGCGCTTGATTTCTCCCTCTCAGTACTGGACATGCTGCCACATCATGCAATGCAGTTGAGAGGGCGGGTAGTTTACCGTGGCATCCCGCGGCTGGTTGGTAAGGGTATGACATGCATCACATGCTTAGTGAAGAGGTACCATTGTTATATCCCCTTGAAGAATCTGCTTTGTCATTTTAAAGCCCTACATTCCTTCTCTAATGGTGAATTATTTCTCCAGGGCACTATTGTCTGCTCTTTCCAATTACGCTACTCTGAACTCTTCACTATCTCCAGGCATAGATCTATCTCTGTAAGTCTGAATCTCAATAGTGCATAGAACTCAAATTTATACTCCAGATGGCTCCTTAGTCCCCATGTAATAATGCAGAATGGTCCTTTCCCTTTCTTTCTTTCTTTCTTTCTTTCTTTCTTTCTTTCTTTCTTTCTTTCTTTCTTTCTTTTCTTCTTTCTTTTCTTTCTTTCTTTCTTTCTTTCTCCTTTCTTTCTCTCTCTCTTTCTTTCTGAAAGACCGGAAGAGGGGGGGGCGGTGGCAGAGAGAGAGGGAGAGAATCTTAAGCAGTTTCCACGATCTAACGACCCTGAGCCGAAGTCAAGAGTTGGAAGCTTAACTGACTGAGCCACCCAGGTGCCTAAAGAATTGTCCTTTTTTAACAGAATAAAAAAAAAAAAAAAAAAAAAGAACACTCAGTGAATATACTGTTTTTCCTAATTTGTATCATTAGCACTAGCTCTATTATTCTAAATCATAATAAATGGTTTACCTATATAAAAGATATTGTTCGTAGTTAGCTTTTCTCATTATAAAAAAACCTCTGAAGTGTAGTCTGTTGGGTTAGCGAGTCCTGACAGCCGATGTATACTTTGCTCTTTGAAGAACCGGTTCAAGGTATGCTTTCACCGGTGTACTAAGTTCAACTGAGTTTATGTAACTCATATAGAGAAAAGTGAATTTACTTTTTCTCCTGGAAAGCTTGAGTTTTATTTTGCCTGGAGATATATCTGATGTTATTCTGTTGCTTTACTTGTGTAGACACAACCTGTGTGTTTCTTGCAATCGGTGTTTCATGAATAACACCCAGTTACAGGAAAATGAAACCCATCTTTAACAACAATCATAAATACTGGATATACTTGCATGGTAGATTCAGATAATATATTTTTTCATGGCTCACGATATCTTTTGATGAGTTGTAGGGATTGGGACTGCAAGGCCTTTTATTATTTATAATGCTGTACAGTCTGACAAATCAGATGTGATTGTTTTGTTATGCTTAGTTCTATTGAACATAGAGAATGTGCTCAAGATTGCTTTATTTATTGCTTTGAATCAAATCTACAGAGAACTACACATACTTCTAACTCAGGATTCATCAACAAAGAGATACATTAAGACCCTCAAGTGGTCACTTTATTAAACAAATACAAATCTGAAACATTTATGGTGAAATATATCAATTGAACAAAAATGTGTGTAAACGGTGATTCTACAACTGGGAAGATATGTCAGTTTTATTAATTTTGGTGACATCTTCCCAACCATGTCTAATCTTCAGTATCTTCTTCCTCAAGCACGGCAGGCACAGTAGGGCTTTGCAGAACAGGACAACAATCGGAAGGAAGACAGCTATCATAAAAGTCGGAGGTGTGTACCACACAAATTGTTTTATATCTACCCATTTATTCCAGGCAAAAATCAATGCATGTATTGTGCCCAGAAGAAGGGAAACAATTCCTAGCTTGCTCTGCAAAAGAAAAAAAATGGTGGGATTGGTTCAGTAAGAGTTTATTCCATCCTACCTCATCTGTTCTGTTGCTTGGAAATTCCATCTGTAATCGTTCCCCTATTAAATTTCTCAACAATGCCCACTCACATCTTTCCATTCTCCTCACACATCCCCACCTCACCCCTTTACGTTGGGTGATGTTTTGTCCACAGGTGATTTAAGTTGAGAAAATTCACAATCAATCTCCTTTCAACCTCAGCTAATCAATAACACCGTCTTTCTTTTCTCTCCATACTTTGTTCATCTGTCTGATGACGTTTATTTTATGGTGCTTTGTCTCTTGAGCATTTGCCTTCATTCTGCCTATCAAGAGACAACTACAGTCGGGGACTTTGACTCATCACAGATTCCCTGCAGAATTAACACAATGATTCGTGCATTTTAGGTGCTCAGTAAATATTAATAGGTTGACTGACGATTAGTGCAAAAATCAATTTGATACCAGTGATCTTTATCAATTATGAAAGCAACCAGAGTAACTGATTCTGATTTTGGTACATGAATACTAAGGTGAATGAGTGTGGCCCATGTTAAAAATCAAACATTCAGGGTCGCCTGGGTGGCTCAGTCGTTAAGCGTCTGCCTTCGGCTCAGGTCATGATCCCAGGGTTCTGGGATCGAGCCCCACATCGGCTCCCTGCTCTGCGGGAAGCCTGCTTCTCCCTCTCCCACTCCCCCTGCTTGTGTTCCCTCTCTCGCTGTGTCTCTCTCTGTCAAATAAATAAAGTCTTAAAAAAATAAAATAAAAATTAAAAAAAAAATCAAACATCCTGATAAAGTGGAAAAATGCCAACTATTTCCACTGTTTACATAACACATAGAGATATGAAGATGTGAAGAAAAATTTCAACTTGTATTGGGATACTTGGCACTATCCAGAAAAAGTTGCTTAAAAATAGTTGTTCACCTATGTAATTTTATGGCATTCTGACAATAGCTCTTCTAGATAAGTTTTGACTTCTATTCGCTTTACTGGAAATGGTCATTAGCCTGCCAGAATGAATCCAACTCACAATTATTCAGCAGTAAGCACTCTTAAGCCCCAATGAATACAATCAAAAGCTAAGTTTATATTTTCAAATATCAATCTCCAAGGTAAATCATAGAATAACTAATTCTTGGATTGTAAATGGAAAGTTTCTAGGTTATTAACTGAAAAATATATGTGATTGATTGAAGATTAATTTTACCAAATGTGTACTGTATACTTATCATGGATTAGGTCTTGTGTACACAGTAGAATGGGTTGGGTAGTCAAGATGCAGTGCTTGGATTCCTAATTAAACGTAAAAAGTGGTGCTCAGCATATGTGTGACAGGCAGAGCAAATGTAAAAACAACGTATTTAATGAGGAACAGAGAACTCTAATGGCTATCAAGCTAAGCCTACACAATCAGCAAATATTGTGCTTGGAAAATGTGGCACCATTTCTAAGCTCCATTGTAATAATTCAGATGGAGACATGTTTTCCTGCCTAATCAGATGTTCTGGTAAAGTTTCTGTAGGAGTATATGTATAGACATGTAAAAGGGATAGTGGGGAAATGTCTGACTTTGTGGGAATTTCCAAAAATGAGCACCCATAGAAGCTAAACTACGTACTTTAAAAAAATCTCGGCAGTGCTTACGATTAAACTAAATTCATCCTTTGCATCCTGTCAGACACGGATCTCCTGTGAGTTCTGGCACACTGCTCTTCTTATGGTGTAATCTACCACTAAGAGATGAACCTCCCTCCGTAAGTCTGAGATAATCTTGAATTCCAAGAATATTGACAAACTTCAAGTCAGTAAGCTACATAAAATGTAAATTAGAAAAAGCAGTCTTTAAAATTAGATATTAGTTGGGTGCCTGGGTGGCTCAGTTGGTTAAGTGACTGTCTTCGGCTCAGGTCATGATCCTGGAGTCCCAGGATCGAGTCCCACATCGGGCTCCCTGCTCAGCGGGGAGTCTGCTTCTCCTCTGACCCCCCCCCCTCAATCTCTCTCTCTCTTACATAAATAAAATCTTAAAAAAAAAAAAAAATTAAATATTAGAATTCCTTTGGTAATTAAAACTCCAAATTTCAATGACAGATGCTTTTTTAAAGGTAGTACCAAGTTGTGTAACTTAAAAGGCGTAAGTAAAATCAGGGGGCAGGCAAAAGAATATTTTTATTTGGGCAGAATGAATAAACCGTGAATATTAAATTCCTCAAATATCACCTGTGGAGTTATTAGGTGGACAGAAAATTATCTAACAAGTTTCAAAGGTTAGTAATAGTTTTCTTTGAGTAATGCTTTTTATTTGTGTCTAGAAAACACTTCTACTTAGAAGTGATAAGGAAAAATTATCGGCGAGCACCTTTTTGATTGAAACAAGTGTGGGATCTTTGCTACTGGAAAACCATTTGTTATTTTTTATGGGACAAAGTCAATATAGTTGATGGTATTCTAAGCACAGAAAAGATTGCCTCTCTGAGGGACCAGAGTTATTTGATAGATAATTTACCTGAATATAGTGAAATTCTCTCCATGTCAAAGAATCGCTCACAGATGGAATGGATGTCACAGCCAACAGAGCCAGTATCCCAAGTGCCACAATTCCCAGAGACACATACATTTCCATTCTCCAAACATCATGCTCAATCCAGGCATCTTCTTTGTTTTGTTGGACCTACCAGAGGGTGAAAAGGGGAAAGAAGGAATGCAAACAACATCTTTTTCCGGCAGATGAATCGCCTTCTACATTCCCTCTGTCCACCATGGAGGGCCTGATAACTAGGAGCCTCCACAAATTTGTGACTTTGTTTGTGCATTCTTCTATGAGAAACGACATAGGAGCCCTCAATCTCTTTCCTTGAATGCAGCATTTACATAAATCTGTTTTGCTAATTCATATAATAGTTACTTGCTAGTTAGGATTGTAATGTGCATGCTTGTGTGGTAAATAAGAACAATTAGCATTAAAAAAGGAATCTTGTGAGGGTGGCAGAAGGTTGCTGTGTGGCCCTGTCCATGAACAAAATACGCATTTAAGTTGTTAAAGTTATAGTTTACTATTTTCAACATAAAAAAAAAAATTCCTCCGTGTGAAACTATATATAACCAAGCTCCAATGAAGCGTTATAATAAAACATTGAAAAATGCAGATTACATTCCCGACACAGCATTTCAAAAGAGGTTTGGGGTATTGATATTAAAATAAGAAAGCGTTAATTTGTTAGACAATTTAGACTTTTTAGTTTAGTGGTACTTTCAACATCGTCACCCTACCTGTTGATATGCCCAGTTGAGCAACTTGTATCTGTAGGATCGCCTCATTGGATAGGACAGACTATAAATTGCATGCAGCACAGCAAAAAAGAAACTGAGAAGCCCCAACTGTTTTCTTGTTAACATCCATCTATCCAACCAATGTGGAAATTTCTTATATTTGGTTCCGTTATGAAGCTGTACAATGCCTGCGATCACCCCCGGCAAATAGACTAGTGCCAAGAGGGTGATGGACACCATTGGCAAGACTTTGTTGATGACCAGGATTGGAATTTTATAAAAATACTGTTGGTGGGAAGTTACAAAAGGGTGAATTATTTCCCTCAGGAGAGTGTAAAGGAAAGTCAGAGATGATATGACAGCAGCAATTTTAATTGGCCAGCGCCACATTGGAAAGAGTTCTTGTTTGTGCTGAAGCTCAGAGGGGCAGTCAAATCCATCAAAGTGGGTTGTTTGGTGCATGTGTGAAAACACAGTTCTTTTCAGCATGCTGGTCTCTCCCGAGTCCTTATCCTACAAAGGGAAGAAAATCAACATCTTAAACAAACAATGGGATTTCTCTTCAATGCATTACTTATTTTGCTCATGGTGCTTATCAGTAAAAAATTTTAGGACATTCAGAACCTTGCTTTTGGATACTGATGTAGCACTGATTGAATATGGATTTAGCTATGCTGGGATTCTCCATTAATTTCTGTTGTTTTTCTTTAAGACAAAGGAATACATGCTTTTTTTAAAGACAGAAGATTATCCATGAAAGCTGAGACCGTTGTGTTTCTACCTTGAAGGCATGAAATGGAATAATGTAAGTGGGAAACTAAAATTGAAAAACGTAAAAAAAATCCAGCAATCTTGGGCAAAAATAACAAAACTTGTATTGTAATGGTTGAATTTGTTTTATAATATTCTTACTGGTAATTGGGCAACTCTCCACAAAGAACTGAGGAGCAAATTCTTCATTAATTCAAGTATAAAGGGTCAGGAATAATACAGTCATTACAGTTATAAAAATATATAATTTCCATCATGCTGTACTTTGATTTTATATTTCTAAAATATCTCATTTCTGCAAGTAATGATTGACAAGTACTCTATCAGAAGGTACAAAGGTTATATACATAGTTAAATCCCATAGAGATGATCTATTTCCTAAGAAAGTCATACTTCTTTATCCAGTTGCATTTCTAAGCAGTCAACAATTCACAAAAGGTTATGTTGACTATTTTGTCATTTCCCCAACTGACTGATATACCAGAAAATTAAAAAAAAACAAAACACTTCTATATAAGAACTTAGGATGTTTCATATTGTGCTGCTTTAATGAATTTACTTTTTCACTCAATAGGCTATTCCTCATTTCTTATAGCTCTCTATGTAGAACTGTAACATTTTAATGTTTAATGTGATGTGATTATCTTGTTCATTTCCTCATTTTATGCAGAGAAACCTTAATTCACATAGTTCTCTATAATTTTTGGTGTTTAAAAGTAGCCTCTCGCCATTTGACTTTTACTTTCAGTGATAAATCACTGTTACATCCAATGCTTTCTCTGGTGGCCCCATTTAGAAGAGAGTTGAGCATGATACATAGGACAGCTTCTGTCATCTCTGCATGTTCAAACAATCTAAGTACAATCAACTGAGATCGATTTTCTGGTTAACGATGAAAAATTATAGAACAGCAAGGAAGATGGTTAACTTGAAAAATGAAAATGGTTTTATTTTATGCACACTTACTTTATAGAATATGCACCTGTAATATCTTATTATTCCTATTAAAATAACTAAAAAAAAATTTTTAAAAGTAACGTTATATAAAATTGTTGCATACACTATCTTTCCTATTAAAATAATTAAGATAAAATACTTTCTGTAAAAACTGCAGTTGACATCATTTGGAAAGGCAAAAAGAGTTTGGAACCGAAAATTTCCACCACTTTTTCAGTCAAATAATGTAGTAAGAAACATTTAATCTTCAGGTGGCACAAAAGTGGGACAAGTGATTCTTATTCCAAAATTGAATTTATTTGTTTAAACGGTGAATCATCAATCAACTTGATGATCTCTTGGTAACTGCCATAAAGCCTATGAAAAAAATGCATGCTTACAAAACTACTGTTAGATGGGCACTGATGACTCTCTTAAGAAACTTAGACCTACAGAAAGTTAGAAGGAATTGGAAGGGCCTTGGAGCTGATCTGGTCCAACTCTCTCATTTTATAGATAAACCAAGACCCAGGATTTTCAGTGACTTATTTGAGGTTATTCAGCTAAGTCCATGACAGTCGTCAAGGTACAATTTCTCTTATATACCACCCTGCACCTTTGCCCATCGCAGTATCAGTGACAGGAATCCGAGTGAAGATACCTGTCAACTGGGTGAAAATCACTGTTAGAACCCTAGGAGATACAGGACTGCATTGAAATTCTGTGTCTAGATTTCAGTGAATTATTATTTTTTATTTTTTTAAAGATTATTTATTTATTTATTTGACAGAGAGAGACACAGCGAGAGAGGGAACACAAGCAGGGGGAGCGGGAGAGGGTGAAGCAGGCTTCCCGCGGAGCAAAGAGCCCGATGTGGGGCTCGATCCCAGGACCCTGGGATCATGACCTGAGCCGAAGGCAGACCCTTAACGACTGAGCCACCCAGGTGCCCTGATTTCAGTGAATTATTATTAACATATTACCAAGTAATCATCTTCTTCTGGATTTCTCCTAGGCTTCACTGTCCAAAGTTCTTCTTGGTTTGTAATATCTTGTCTGCTCTCCATTAATTCTGTAAAATAGAATAGCGTCAGCCATGGAAATGAGAAATAAACATCATTGTCTTCTTCACGTCTATACTATTTAAGACATTAATGTTTGATAGGGCAATAGAAAAATCTACTTACATAAGGACTAGAGTGGCCTAGAAAGTACAATTAAAATAGTGACTGATTTACCATTTAACCTCACATAATCTGTCGGAATCTCAAACCATGCCCTTGTGTCAATAATAACAGCTTTGCTTTGTCCAGCTATTGGTGCAATGAATGACAGACTGTCTATATGGAATTCAAAGGGTCAGATGTTGCCTTTTATTTTAGGAGAAGTTAACTCCAGGTGCTCAGTTAGAGGAAAACCAACTCTGCTCAAAGGTAAATTGAATTAGGAATGCATTTTTTTGGGTAACAATGTTATCAGTAGGAGTTAGCTGATGTAAGATTATACTTTAGGAAGTTGTATTTGATAGACTTTTGGGGTTGATATTGGAATCTGAAATAATAATTAAATGATTTTATGGGGAAATGTATTCTGACACTCTTGGTAAGGTGGACCCTGATAGTGGTATAAAGGACCAAAAGGCTGTATTTTCAGAGTGCCATTTTCTCATCAGAGTAACAGGCTGGTTTTTGTTGGTAAGACATGAATTGTTAGTACAGTTCCAATGGAGTTGTTGAGTTGTGTTCAATCACAGACTGCCTATTCTCCTGGTCAACCCTGTGGAAATTAGTTTTGTTAAACTTACTACCTGACAAAGTATTCTTTGCCTTAACATGCTTCACAGATCCTCCTAAGGCTTGGTGTAGCATTTTTTTAAAGGAAGGGAACATATGATATCACAATATTATTCACTGTTTTCATTAGTTCTAAATCTATTTCTAGAGGAATACCTCGCCAATTTGTACTTTATGAAATTCAATGAGAAAAACAGATTAGATATACAACAACTTGATTATCAGAAACATTCCAAGTGTTTCTGAGTTTTAGAACACCTGTAACACTTTACCAAGTGGAAAGTTGCTTCCAGGAGTAGCTTAAAATAGTTAAAACATTCTCCAAATTTAAAGGCTTGATTTTCTCAAAAAATAAAGAGGAGCCATCTTTATATAATGCCAACCATTTGCCTTTGTTCAAGTGCTCGGAGAACATTTTCCATATATTATCTATTTTGAAATTGTGCAACATTCACACTGAGGATATTTGTTTTGGTCTGCCCACATTTTCCCTCTACTTAAAAAAAATTTTTTTTTTTATTTTTAATCACCATACATTTCATCATTAGTTTTTGATGTAGTGTTCCATGATTCATTGTTTGCGTATAACACCCCGTGCTCCATTCAATACGTGCCCTCTTTAATACCCATCACCAGGCTAACCCATCCCCCCATGCCCCTCCCCTCTAGAACCCTCAGTTTGTTTCTCAGTGTCCATAGTCTCTCATGGTTCGTCTCCCCCTCCGATTCACCCCCTTCATTTTTCCCTTCCTATCTTTTTTTTTTTTAAACATATAAGGTATTATTTGTTTCAGAGGTACAGGTCTGTGATTCATCAGTCTTACACAATTCACAGCGCTCACCATAGCACATACCCTCCCCAATGTCTATCACCCAGCCACCCCATCCCTCCCACCCCCCCCACCACTCCAGCAACCCTCAGTTTGTTTCCGGAGATTAAGAATTCCTCATATCAGTGAGATCATATGATACATGTCTTTCTCTGGTTGACTTATTTCGCTCAACATAATACCCTCCAGTTCCATCCACATTGTTACAAATGGCAAGATTTCATTCCTTTTGATGGCTGCCTAATATTCCATTGTGTATATATATATATATATATATATATATATATATATATATATGTATATACCACATCTTTATCCATTCATCTGTTGATGGACAGCTTGGCTCTTCCCATAGTTTGGCTATTGTGGACATTGCTGCTATAAACTTTGGGGTGCATGTACCCCTTCAGGTCAATACATTTGTATCTTTGGGGTAAATACCCAGTAGTGCAATTGCTGGGTCGTACAGTAGCTCTATTTTCAACTTTTTGAGGAACCTCCATACAGTTTTCCAGAGTGGCTCCCCCTACTTTTTAATGATCTAAAACATTTCCTCCATTTGGAGAAAGGTCCCTCCTTTGCCATATGACTCAGTCTTGGCTTATCACTGTTCTCTATTCCCTTGATGGCATTGGCTGGCTTAGGGATGGCATACAACCCTAGTTGAACCAATTAGAGTCCTTCTCTGATATTTATATATGGGAGTGGAAGATAAAGAGATGTCTTTTAACATTTTGTTAAATTGGGATGAAAGAAGCCTACCATGCTTTCTTCTACTTGCTCTAAGGAGGAAGAGGTCTTCAACAGAACAGAAGAAAGCCAACACACAAAAGTACAAGCGAGAAATGGGGAAAGACATAGAAGCGTCCTGGTGGTATATTTTAAGTATTTAGAGTTCCTGAGACCAGATCACGAATTTTTCAGTTACACAAGCCAATACATTCCCTTTTTTGCTTTAGTTTGATTTGGGTGTCTATCACTGGCATTTGAAAGAGTTCTGAGTAAAACATATGCCAATCATCAGGTATTTATGGAACTCAAGTCTATGGTAGACAACGGAGGAGGAAAAAGAAACGAGACTTTGTTCTGGAGGACCTCCAGGCTATATGCTTAATAAGTATAATTCCAAATCATTTAGTGATTTAACCAACATTATAAATAGAGTAATCTGGGAGGTAAGTATGTGTCTAGGAATAGGAATAGAAGTTTTTTTTTTCTTTTTTTAAGATTTTATTTATTTGACAGAGAGAGAGCACAAGCAGGGGAAGCAGCATCAGGAGAGGGAGAAGCAGGCTCTCCGAGTGGGAAGCCTGACTCGGGTCTCAGTCCCAGGACCCCGAGATCATGACCTGAGCCAAAGGCAGACGCTTAACCAACTGAGCCACCTGGGCACCCCAGGAATAGAAGTTTTATCTACTGTAACCAAACAAGGAATAATTCACTATGTTTAGATGTTTTAACTGTGTTGTAGGACGGCGAAGATGTTAACATGCAAATCTACACTTATTCAATGTTAACTCATTAACTATATTGTGAGCAACAATATTAGGCAGTGGGAATACTAAGTTTTTTTTGGAATACTAAGTTAAATGAGATGGAGCCTCTGCTCTCACAAACTCAAAGTCTAGGGGAAAAGGCAGAAATTTCAACAACTGTGTGGTAGTGCAATGGATTCCAAAGAAAGACAGTTTTATAGGCAGATCGTGGCTGGAAAGGGTGAGGGCTCTCTTGTAGACCTGGTCCTGGGGCCTCAAGCAAGTTGGCAGTATTTGCTGATGGAGGGCCACTTTGTACAGAATCTGGGTGAAAAGGCAGCACAGTGGCCTTGGAGAAGTATCCACCTATTCATCTGCATGGTAGGGAGACCATACTGGAGAGCAAGGCCAAGGAAAAGCCCAGGGCAGTGAGGGAGCCTGTTGGCTCTGTGGTCCACAATCAAATTTGTGCCAGAAGCCAAGAAAATAAAATATCTGTCAAATAAAATATGTTGGTTTCCATCAGACATTAACCAAATATATAATTTAAATTCTGCAGTAACATCTTTTCATGGGAAAAAAAAAAAAAAGGGAAACAACACAGTGTTCAGATGTTAGGAACTCCAGATTTGACCCAAAGTTCTCTAACTTTCATCTCCTTTCAAAAGCAAAACATAGTTCTGATGTGACTGTTCCGTTTTGCTGTACCAGGATGGCTGACCTGATGTTCCTGCTAAATATTGACACAGTCCAACTGACTCATGTTTTTGTCAAAGAGTTTAGAATATGAAGAAACTCATTGACTGGAGCACAATATGGATTGCACTGCCATTTCCAAACCTTCTATACTTTCAAGTATGTACTTGCTTCCCCACATTTAACTACCTAAAGGTAAGATGTTCTTCTTCCCTAGGCTGTTTTTTTAAGCATTGCTTAATATCTGTGTTAAATAAATCTAAGTAAATGTCAGGATGTCGTGTGAAATTTTTTTTTTTTTAGATTTTATTTATTTATTTGCTACAGAGAGAGAGAGAGCACAAGTAGGCAGAACGGCAGGCAGAGGGAGAGGGAGAAGCAGGCTCCCGGCTGAGCAGGGAGCACGATGCGGGGCTCCATCCCAGCACCCTGGGACCATGACCCGAGCCCAAGGCGGCCGCTTAACCGACTAAGCCACCCAGGCGCCCCGTGAAATTTTTTTTAAAGAGAAAGAAATTTGGGGCGCCTGGGTGGCTCAGTCGTTAAGCGTCTGCCTTCGGCTCGGGTCGTGATCCCAGGGTGCTGGGATCGAGCCCCGCATGGGGCTCCCTGCTCCGCGGGAGGCCTGCTTCTCCCTGTCCCACTCCCCCTGCTTGTGTTCCCTCTCTCACTGTCTCTCTCTCTCTGTCAAAAAATAAATAGAATCTTAAAGGAAAAAAAATAAAAAAAAATAAAAATAAAGAGAAAGAAATTTAGAAGTGTTTGTAAATTTTATGTCTCCCCTTCCAGTGGGTTTGACCCACGCATTATATGAAGCCTTCCTTGATCGACTATTTGGATAGAACTTGAACCCCAAACCAGATCCTGAAGGAGTAGGACTAATGATCGCAGAACTTAAAACGAAAACTTCCTGTTACTAGGAAACCTGAAGGCAAGTCACACGATTTTAAGCACTACGAACCAATCATGCATTAATGCTATGCAAACTCGCAGCGATTTTGCCAAGCTGGAAAACTTGCCATCAGAATCCGACCGAAGGACAAACCTTAATCGTATGCCTCGAGCCCCCAGCGAAAGGACTTCCTTGTGAGTCCCTGGCTCCCAGCCCCTGGACCGGCCACAACGGAGCAGTGCGCTCCGGCCGAGAGCTGCGCTGGAGGGCGGCGCGTCCTGGAGCCGCGCGTAAGGGGCGAATTGAGCTGCTCTCGCCCGGAACGCCGCCGCCCCGGGGCTGGGAAGGCTTGCAAGCCGCTACACCCCTCGCGAGGCTGCGAGCCCGCGCCCGCCCTCGCGGGGACACACGGAGGCGGGGAGCAAGCAGCGAGCCGGGACGATTCAAGGGACTCACCCGCTCCTCGGCGCGACCAGACGGTAAGTTGGGGCGCAGCTGCTGCGGGGACCGGCCAGCCCCACGAGGTGCCCGAGTCCCGGAGCGCCGAGCCGGCTCTCCCCCTGCAGACCCCGCCTCTTTGTCAAAGGCCCGTCCAGCGCCACCTGCAGGTGCCGGGCGACCTCACGGCTCCTGCCTCGGAGGGACAGTCCTCGGAGGTCCCAGCAGCCGAGCCAAGGGTTTCCCCACATTGCCACCAGGCCGCTCCCGGTTTTCTCTCAAATGGCCCTGGCTTCCGTCTGAGCCCTGCTCCTCCCACTTTCGTTAATCTCCCGAGTAGCGAACATCCGTGCAATTCTTTGGAGCAGTGGTTCCCAAACTTCAACGTGTATCACCTGTAGGCCTTATTAGAACTGATTTGCCTCCTTCCCCCTCAGGGTTTCCTGATCCTTAAGTCTGGGATGAGGTCTGAGATTCTGTGTTTCTAGCAAGTTCCCTGGTGATGCTGGAGCACTCGCAGATCACACTTTGAGATGGACTGCTTTAGAGCGTAGCCAGCCCGGTTTAAACTTCGCAGCAACTCTCTGAAGTGATGGCTATTTACAGTTGGGGAATCCGAATGCGAATCTCTGAGAGGGACTTGCCCCCTAAGTTGTACAAATCTTGTACCCTAAACCGCACGAATCCTGTCCCCTGGCTGAATAGGCTCTTAAACCCCACGTTAACTCTTCTTCCTTGCCTCTGATAAAGCTAACTTCCCCTACCCTAACCCAGTCAGGCACTCCAACCCTAACATAAAGCTACTGTCGCTATTTTAAAGTTTCGGGGGGTGTTTTTAAAATATAAGGGGTATGGAGAAAGAGAATGTGTGCGGGGGCGGGGTGGGGGTGGGGGGGTTATTTTTCTGAGTTGGAACCAGCCTCAGGGTAGAGCGTCTGAGACCTGAATTGCAAGAGGATTTTGCAACATCCTCAGAACTAATCTGATTAGAAAAACAAAGGAAAATAAACGCTCAACCGCTCAACCGCAATTTCTGTGATTGTTCTTTAATCAAAGCTAAGGCAACTAAGGACTATTCAGTTTTAATATGTACTTTTTCGTAGTCTTTGACTTTGCACGGGGTAATAGTGAAGCCCTTTGAAGATTAAATTACCATGGCCTGACGCCTTGTGGTAGAAACAGAATCTTACACTATTTCTAGTGAAACGAGAATATATTCACTTTAAAAAGTTTTAGAAAAAAAAAATCTCTGTGTTTGTAGCACAAACCTCAAAGAATTAAGAGAGATTGTTAAATGAGTCTAAGCATTGTTGAATTTTTAAAATGATCTTGGGTCTAAAAGGATCAAACAAAGCAATATGCTTTCATTTTTTAAGCTTCCATAGAACAAAGATCCTTCTCTTTTTCATAATCTATTTTGCACATGAAGAGGGCAAGGAAGTTATTATTATATTTATATAAGTTGGCTAATTATAGCCAACTCCAATTAAGACTGCTTTTCTGCTTCTAATTAAAACATTTAAAATCAAGGCCCAAATGTTTTTGTTTTATAATTAAACTAACAATTTTATTTCTGCATTTCTTCTGAAAGTTTTTTTGTTCAATATTTTAGTGTGGTGAATATAGTATGTTTCTAAGTAAAAAGATTGAAAATATGAGGTTGTTTACAAATTAGTTTGTAGATATTGTAAAGGCAGTACAATATTGGATTAAAAACTGGTATTAAAGAACTTCTATTAAATTATCAGGAGTTAATATGACAGATGAAATTTCTGTAGTTTTTGCATGCAAATGGCCAAAATGACCTGTGATTTGGGTATGACTAGATTTTTTCTTTTTTCTTTTTCTTTTTCCTTTCTTCTGCTGCTGCTGCTGCTTTTTTTTTTTAGAAACACAAAGCCAAGGCATCTAAAAATGTTCTGAGTCAGCTTCTATATAGCATACTTTTCAAAACCAGTATGATTTGTGGAAAACAGCATTAGACTATTACACATTTTGAAAAGCAGATTGCTGGTTTTGGCATGACTCGTAAGAACTAGAGCATTTTAGGGCGCCTGGGTGGCTCAGTCGGTTAAGCGACTGCCTTCGGCTCAGGTCATGATCCTGGAGTCCCGGGATCGAGTCCCGCATCGGGCTCCCTGCTCGGCGGGGAGCCTGCTTCTCCCTCTGACCCTCCCCCCTCTCATGTGCTCTCTGTCTCTCTCATTCTCTCTCTCAAATAAATAAATAAAATCTTTAAAAAAAAAAAGAACTAGAGCATTTTAAAAGAGGAATTCAACTGTGAGCTACAAACGAATTGGATCATTCAGAATATTTGTAACAAACAAACTATAGTGAGAGAGCATATTAACAAAACAGTTCTTTAATGTTATTTGGGATCAAATGCTGAACTAGTGATTTCACATGAATGTATCACAGGGAAAATATGATAATTTGGAATCTATGAATACTTCTCCCTGACCAATAAGCAGCCTAATCTTAGAACTTGATGGGACTGCCATTTAAGAAGAATGGAGTATGGTGGTGTAAAAGATAAAATAAAAACGATCATACCATTACAAATAATCACAATGAGCAATACACAGCAAATTGTAAGTTGATGACAAGAACTTTAGTTTATCTCCTTGGGAAATCAAACTAACTCCTAAGGGCACAGTAATTCAGGAATTAATGATCATCATAATTCCAAGTTTACTTCTTACTATGTAAGAATAGTCAGGTTTATTTTAAGACAAGGAAAAAATTACCCTAAGTTCATGAAGAAATATTTCATCAAAATGATCATTTTACTGCATTCATGATAAAGCTGAACTGGCCTAATTTTCTGATTCTACTAGCCTCATATGATAAATTCTCTTCACTCACTCAAGATCTCCTGGTAATGATCAAAGTACTGTACGTGGTCAGTTTGTTCCCAAGTCTGTAAGTTAAAGTAATTGCGGGTAGAGAGAAGGCCTAACTTTGGGGTTGGAGGTTTAAAAAATTTTTCCATATATTTCCCCCCAACGCAATTTATTGCTCATTCACCAACACTGTTAACAGTCAACATCTATTCTAGATATGTTTTAAGAACAGGTGGTTTAGGGCGCCTGGGTGACTCAGTTGGTTAAGCGACTGCCTTCGGCTCAGGTCATGATCCTGGAATCCCGGGATCGAGTCCCACATCGGGCTCCCTGCTCAGCAGGGAGTCTGCTTCTCCCTCTGACCCTCCTCCCTCTGATGCTCTCTGTCTCTCATTCTCTCTCTCGCAAATAAATAAAATCTTAAAAAAAAAAAAAAGAACAGGTGGTTTATTTCGATCCTCACAGATCCATCTCTGCCCAAATACTGCTTAATGATGCTCAAAATTCCATGGAGTCAAATGATTAACTGACTGAGCCACCCAGGCACCCCTGAGGCCTCGCTATTTTTAATCCTTATATCTCTTATAACTTAGAGATTGATGGAATAGATTCGTTGTAAATGTTTGTGGAATGTGATTTTAGCCCTTGGTCTCAGGAGAGTTGTGTAGGGCACATAAATATGGAGTCCATGAATGTATAGATATCATTTAGACCCAAACTGTGGGCACATATCCATTGTTATTTATTTCACACAACACACACTCTTACCCACCTTCCTTAGTCTGGGTCCTTCTTGTTTTCTGCTATAGGAACATGTGGGTTCAGAGTTGCCATTGTCACAGGAATTATAGACCTTACGTGTCTTGGGTGGTAGGAGATCAGGGAGTGGAGAGTGTTGGATAGGGAGAGCTGGTTCAGTAGAGAGTTCAAGAAGGCTGATTGGGAGAGTTGGACCTAAAATTTCTGGTGATGGACTCTGCCTTGTAAAGTCCTCGGCATAAAGAACCGTGCCTACCAATTCCTGGATTTGGGCTTCCGAAAGAGAGGATACTATCAGTTATGAAATGCCTACTCTTTCCCAGGACTGGGTTTGGTTCTCTCAGTATCCCCACTATATTGTTATTATCCTCCGTTTATAGGTGAACTGAAGCTTAGAAAGTTTAAGTAACTCCATCAAAGTTGTACAGTTTTTATTTTTTTTTAAAGGTTTTTTTTTTTTTGACAGAGAGAGAGACGACAACACAGCAGGGGGGAGCGGGAGAGGGAGAAGCAGGCTTTCCGCAGAGCAGTAAGGTCATAGTCCTGCAGGGAGTGTTCCAAGTTGGTGAGGTTGTTCTCCACGAGGTCATTCAGGCACACCGACTCCTTCCACCTGGTTGCCCTGCTGTGTCCTAGGGCACTGTTCTTGGCATCATGATTGAAGGGTGGCATTGGCATATCCATGATCGAGTTGCAGGAAAGGGAAAGAGTACAAGTCCGAAGCAATTGTTTGCTAATAGGAATTGAGACAGAAGTTGCCTGATCACTTCCTCTCCCATTCTATTGATGATAATTTACTCATATGGCAAGGTAGGCAGGGAGATGCAGTCTCTGGCTGGGTGGTCAGATGTTAAGGTGTATTAGCATGGAAAAGGGTAGCAAAGTTTGGTGAACAACCAGAAGTCTCCACCACATTCTCACCTCCAACTCTGATCTTTATGTTCATACCAAGCTTGGGAACTTTGATTTCTTCCTTCATTGGGCTTACTGTCTTCCTCGTTCTGAAGCCTGTCTGAAGGTTCAGAGTAAACTTATTACTCACAGCTTAGTCTTACACTGGAGGCTGTTAGTACCAAAGTGAGCTCTTGTGTATCTTGACCATGAGCATCCTTGTGTAGAGGTTCTCTCACATGGTCTTTCTGCTGGCTCTTCACGTATAGTTGGACACGGGGAATACTCAGTGGGAACACCACTTGGTTCCACTGTGGGACTCCCTACTCCCCTAGAATTGATTTTTATTTTTAATTAAAAAAAAGAGCCAGGTGCCATAACTGAAAACCAATACTAGCGGTACCAAGAAGGCAAATCTATATGACTTATGTTGTTTATATTTCCAAGAGTGGAGTATTTATGCACAGTGATCCAGAATCACTTCTTAGCAGCTTTTCCAGTTTCTCACAGAACCTTGGGTTTCTAAAGTCTTCCTAAGGACCTGAAACATTTTTTCTTAGCACAGAAAATACCTACGCTCTAATGCATATTAATTTATTAA